GAGGTTGAAGATGGTGTAATTTTGCAACCTAATCTTTGTATATAGACTTATATTACAGGATAATAGAAGTCATAATTTTTTTTTAAATATTTTATTTACACAATTTAAAAATACATAAATTTACTGCACTAAATATAGAGTGGATAATATGGTTATTACTGTACTGAATGTGTAACAATCATTAAGCATTTTAATACTTGTATATAATGACTAACTAACATTGAACACTAACTGAGCTCATAAAATTTGCTTAACAGTTTTTGAACAGTTATTGGAAGCACACTTGCAAAATCATCAAATATGTGAAAGTGGATGGAAAAATAAATTATAATTATGTAAAATCTATAGAAAATGTACAATGTAGATGAGAAAACAAAAAACAAAACATTAAATCTCAATATTTCACACTGTCTGGCAGTGCTGTACATTAAGTGCATTTAGGTGCATGGGAGTGGCAGAGGTGGTGGAAGTTACCATGGCGTGGGGTGAGGTCAGGTAAGCTGACCCAACCCTCATGTTACTAAGGTGTCGCCAGGTCAGGTATGGGCACCACGCAGTACCTGGAGGGGGGTGGGGGGTGTTTCCGGGCAACCAGGAAACCCCCCTGGGTGCACCACTGTTGCGGCCATGGGATAAAAACTTCTGATGTTGAAGAAAGCTCGCTGTCCCCTCGTCCAGAATCCTCGCGCACTGACGTCAACACGGGCTTCGTTGGATGTGTTTGAAGTCCTATGTTGAAAGATCTCACCATCCATAGGAAGGAGGGTCGGTTCTACCATGACATCCCGGCAAATTTCTTTCAACATATTTGCTGTGAGATACCTTACTTCGTCATGCCTCATGCAAATGAAGCCCCCTTTCTTGCACACCATGGCGTGATCGACGTCATAGGTAGAGCCACACACGCATTGGGAGGGTAACCCTTCTACTTGCCCACCGTACCTTAGAGCAATGGCATCCATAAATTCTTGTTTATTGAGACTGAAACCATTTGCCCTTATCGGTAACGTAGTTGACCAGTTCAAGGCGCCCACCTCCTGCGCTATAGCTACTTTTTTTTTTTTTTATGTGGCCTCCAGCCTCCCCCAATAGCCACACCTTTGCTGCCATTTTATTACCTTAATATTAAATATCCTAATAAATAAGTAGCTATCCTATCTGTGTTGAATTAGTTGAGCCGCAGATCTATGCGGCATTCAGTGACTGTAGACTCATAGTCAATATCTGCAGCTGTTGTCAGCATTGGGGCCAAAGCTCTCGTTCCCCTGCAGTACAGGAAACTAGTTTGTTGTGCGCCCTTCAGATGCATTAGTTGGTCACAAGTCGTCAGTTGAGGCTTTGTTTACAGTGGAGAGAGCATCTATTTTGTTGGTGTCTTTGAATATTTTTGCATTTTTCATTGAAATTATTGGTCATTCTGAACTTTATTTAACATATTGATAATATATAGCACAGTGCAGTGTTTATTTAAAGAAAATAATCTTGAATTACACCTAGTGAATTGAAAATTTTATTGGTGAAAGGACTGCATCAAGCATGGGTTCCCTGAAAGGTGATTTCTCCTCCACCCCCACTTCTAATTCCCATCATCATCATCAACCAGGAACCTTCTACATACACACCTCAAAGTAAGTGTACTTTACTGCATTTTTTTTTACTTTGTATGTACCTTTCGGTGAGCTGGAACCAAGTACAGTACTCCCTCTTTATCGACGGGGGTTACGTTCTGTAAACGGCCGTCGATAAAGAAACCGTCGATACCGTGATGGTTGCGTAATTTTTCTAACTATTATTAGCATATGTTGAATAAATGTACCTTTAAGCATTAATGCGTTTCCTTTACACATAACCTTAAATAATAGTGTATAAATAATAATATAATAAGTGGACAAAAATACTAGCAAACTTACCATTTAATTTATTGAAGTGAACATCGGTCCTTACAGTAAACAATACAGTATATACAGTATATACAAGTGTGATGATTGAGGCTTATTAAAAGCCTGACCAGTCAGATGAGTATGATTAGTCAAGGTCTGCATCTTCTTGAGGGGTGTGGGCAGGTACTGCGTCTTATTGTTGTGAGGTGCCGGCAGCTTCTACGTCTTGTTGTTGTTGTGAGGTGTCGGCAGGTTCGGCGATGGCAGGCACTCGGCGACTGAAGAAGTTGGTGATGGTGGTCTGTGCTTTCTTGCTTCTCATTTCCCTCTGCAGTTCTATATATGGCAACATAACATTTTCAATAGCTCTCTTTGCTTTAAGGGACCTATCAAGGGAGGGATCAATGTCATAGAGACGAGCAGAGAGGGCCTTACTCATTCTTATCACTTCACCAAGATTATCTAAAGTTAAGTTCTTATTTTCATCATCACTCACTTCATCGTCTGTTTCATCCTGCAGCTCCACTAATTGTTCTAGTTCATCACTTGTAAATGGGTCCCCAACATTTCCCAATAACTCTTCTTGCACCTCTGCCGCTGTTAGGTCAGAGAACCCTTCACCTCCAACTTCATTTGCCATAGTTATTATGTTGCGTAACTGAGGCTCGGCTGTTGGGAACCCTGTGAATGTTGGGACAATTTCAGGCCACAATTTTTTCCAACATGATCGGACACAGTTCTGCGACAGTTCATTGTGGCTTTCAGCGATGAAGTTTATGCACTGTGCAATATCAAATTTCTTCCACATTTCTCTGGGTGTCACATCAGCATCCTTATCAAGGCACTCACGAATCATGCTGAAAGTCTTCTCTGCATATTTAGCCTTAAACACGACAATGACTCCCTGGTCCATTGGCTGGATGATGGAGGTGGTGTTTTTTGGCAGGAAAACCACCTCAATGTTGGGGTGGGCAGTCTTGAGTTCTTCAGAGTGGCCAGGGCAATTATCTAGACATAATACCACTTTGAACTCCATGCCAAGTTCATCCAGATAATTTTTCACCTCTCTAGCAAAGCAGTTTTTCAGCCAATCCACGCACAAATCAGATGTCATCCACGCTTTCTTGTTGTTCCTGTAGAAAACTGGTAGCAAGTTCATGTTTTTATTTTTGAGAGCCCGAGGTCGTGCGGCAGTGTATAACAACATGGGCTTAATCATATGCCCTGCCGCATTCCCACATAGCATCACTGTCACTCGGTCCTTCGCAACTTTAAATCCAGGGGCACTTTTTTCCTCTTTAGAGATGTAGGTTCGGCGTGGCATCTTCTTCCACCATAGGCCTGTCTCATCAGCATTAAAAACTTGTTCCGGCCTATAACCCTTTTGTGCTATGTGGTTAGCAAACTCTGCAGGGTATGCTTCCCCTGCCACAGTGTCTGCTGATGCTGCTTCGCCAGTCACTTTTATATTATGCAGCCCATAACGATGTCTGAATTTCTCAAACCATCCTTTGCTAGCTGCAAATTTTTTCAAATTGTCACCATCACCATCACCCTGATCATCACCATCACCATCACCAACACCATGATCATCACTTTTAGAAAACCTATCATAAAGTTCCTTAGCTTTCTGCCTAATAAATTTCGAGTCAAGTGGTATGCGGCGGCGGTTTAGGTCCTCTATCCAAATGTTCAGTGCTTTTTCCATTTTAATGAGGGCATCATCACGCACATGGCTTGTCACTTTTGATGTCACTGGTGCACTTGAAGCTAAAGCGTGCTTCAGATCCTTTGCACGTCGTTTAATTCCACGCACACTGGATTCGTTGAGCCCAAAGTGGCGGCCAACAGCTGCATAGCTCATACCGCTGTCGAGTTGTTTCAGCACTTCATTCTTCTCATTCAGCGTCAGCACTCGTCTTGCCCTCTTAGGTGTAGATCCAGAGGGAGCAGCAGGTCGTTTGGGAGGCATAGTGATATAAGTTCATGTGATGAACCACCAGCAAAAGTTGAAAATCAAAGACTGTTGCCCACTCGGCTTGGCTGATGTTTGTGTTCAGGGAAGGCGGGCCGCGGGTAGGCGCTAGTCACGCCACTAGTGCCGCCTAGCGGCGAAAGTACAAACAAGGCCCGCGGAGTTCAAATAAAGCCAAAATAAAAATCCCGGCTAAATAATCCGTCGATAATCGAAACCGCCGATAAAAAATCCGTCGATAAAGAGGGAGTACTGTACCCAATATCCCATTGAAACAATGGATTCGGTTAACGAACGACCTTCTGGAACGAATTGTGTTTGTTAACCGAGGGACCACTGTAAAATCGTTGTTTATCTGATATCAAGTTTCTCTGTTTACATCTCCTAGACTGAGTACTTTACATTTGTCCACATTGAATTTCATTTGGCATTTTTCAGACCATTCAAAAATTTTTTTTAGGTCTTCCTGTAGTTTTGCAGGGTCTTCGTCAGATTTAATTACTTGCCCTATTTTAGTGTCATCAGCAAATTTACTTATGTTGATGTCTACGCCAATATCTATGTCATTTGTGTATAATAAATAATAATGGTCCAAGTACGTACTGAGCCTTGGGGTACTCCACTAGTGACGTTACTCAAATCGTATTTAGTGCCGGTAATGCTCACTCACTGTTTCCTGTCCTGTAACCACGCACTAATCCATTTTATAACATCTCCAATGCCATGAGCCTCCACTTTTCTTATTAGTCTTTTGTGAGGGACTCTGCCGAAGGCTTTGCTGAAGTCAAAATATACCACATCATAGTCGTGCCCCTCGTCCACTGATTCAAAAACAGCTGAAAAAAATTTTTATTGTTGAAATACAAGATAATTAATAATTTTCTATATGTTCATGATGAGCTTACTGTTCAATTGGTGATGCCATTATTTGTATTTACATTATTTTAATATCATTATTATTATTATTTTGGGGGTGGGGAATGTTTCATTTGGAAAAAAATTATTAGCTCAAGGGGATCGCCCCAGTCGCCGCCTCCCCCCCTTTCTGTATGCCTCTGGACCTTTGATAGTGAAGTTGAAGAATTTGTTGTACCATTGTTCACAATGATGATTATTAAATACAGTATTTTGTTTTTCTTTTCCAGAAGTGTGTGTCTCAGGAGACCTGTCAGGATGCAACTCTGAGTAAACAATGAATCAACAAGAAATAATACAAGACAAACAACATGAGGCTACGAGTCAGGTTAAAGTCTTTAGCTCTCCTTGCCTTACTAAGCTTGTGCATCGTTATTTACAACTTTATAGGAGTCCATATAGGTAGCTGGAGTGATGACGGTAACAAGCCTAGTTCAAGGGTGGCCAGAATAACCGCTAATGTGAGTACTGTAATTTGAGGTGTTTTCCTGAGTTTAAGGCTGTAACATGTAGCTTTGTGTGTTAATAGTGTAAGGAGTATTTCTAAACTACAGTACTCTATTATTATATGACTATACTGTATTTAAATCTGTTTGGAAATATTCTTTGTCTAATACCTAAACTTGCTTCTCTATTCATGATGAGTAATTGTAACCTTTGACTGACCTTACACAGGATCTGTTCGCCATTGGCCATCACTTGGAGTCTCCCAGCATCGCATCTTCAGGCCTGGCATTTAGGCCCAAGACCTACAATGTTGTTGTTAATGGTGCCAACACACAGGGACATGCTCCAGCTAACATTGATGCACCCTGTGATAGTGTTTGTCAGTTTCGTCGACTCAAGCAGAGAAGTGAGATGGAAGTAAAAGAAAATCATGTGAACCAGACTAAGAGAACAAGACAGATAAACAATGCAAGAGATTTTTATACAAGCAAGAGAACCATTGTGTATTCCCCACTCCAGAAAAGCAACAGCACCAGTGTGAAGTACAGCAATAACTGGAAGGAGTGTGATAGGACGTGCAGGATTGCCAACCTGAAGGGTCACAAGTTACATAAAGGAGCAGGTTATGCTTCCAGGGTTCAGGTAAGGTGTACAGTACAGTATAGTGTACAGTTCCTAGTACAATAAAGATTGTACATATAGTGAAAGTCAAGGCAGGTACATAGAACACCAGTCAGCAGATAACTCAGCACTATATGATACCAGAATCACTAATGATAACAATACTACTACTAATAATTTTTATTCAATAAATCATCGTACAGGCTTTACTCTTTGCTTTTCATGTACATTATATACAGTTGTAAAGTAACAAAGTAAATTTACTTGAGTACTGTACTCCAGTAACATTTTTGGGTATTTACTTTTTAAAAGTACAGTACAGGCATCCCCCGCGTTACGGAACCCCGGGTTGCGGAATTTCGCTCTTACGGAATTTGTAAATTATGACCAATAATTTCGCGATATGGCCCGTAAATCCGCCCTATGGAAATTGGGGTAAATTTTAACAAAAATGAATTATCAAAATTTTGACATTCCGACCACTGATGTTCAATATGTCTTGCCTGTATACTTATAAATGATATGTTCTGGTATACAAGTGATTTTAATTGGTGTAAGTTTATTAGGTACTGGTATAATGTCTAGCTCTACTGTACTTGTAGGTGGAGAGCATGACGCTGCCAGATTCCTGGACAGTAACACAGGAACTGGTGGACCGTCTGTCTGCCCGGCGCAACCACGTCCGAGAGGTAAGACTCACAGCTACTGAGTACAGTAATAGCTTAGAAGTTTTGTGAATAGCTTGATTTAAAGAACTGTTGCTCCAATCTTGACATCTCTTGCATCATGATCACTCCATGACTGAGTTGTCTAGACTGGTGGGATGTAAAACTTACTGGTTATTTACATTTATTTACAGGTTTGTAAAAAATATGGATTAGATGAGCCATCAGAGACCTACCAGCCAAATGCCTGGGAATTCCTGATAAATGAAAAATATGGTTTAATATGGTGCAACATCTTCAAGGCTGCCTCATCAACATGGTTCTATAACTTCAATTTACTAGCAGGGTTCTCAGAGACAGAACTTCTTCATGCAAAAGATACTCCAATCCAACTTGCTAGAAAACGTTATGCCAGGTAGCTTGTGGTAGTCTGGATGTGTTTGTGTGTATGTAATTTATTATAGATACTGTGCCATTTTCTCTCTGCACCAGTGACTCGGACACAGATAGTCTTGCGTCTTGGTGCATTTTTTCATATTTTAGAAGTTGGATTAAATGATGAACAAAACCAATTTGAAAATATGAAAAACAAAATCTGCTAGCCGATGATATATGAATTAATAGTGTGTGTGTAGTTTTATGTACAATAGAAGATTATTTCATGACTTGGGAAGAATACCAAGTGAAATACAGGGGTACCATCAGTTTTCTTTGAACTGGTTACTATGAAATCATGTGCCCAACTTATTACAGTGCTGTATATGGACAAAACTGTACTAGACTTTGGTTAAGTCCTTCACTGTTGGGACACCACTTTTGATATTTTATTTGGCTAACATCAGACAATTTTATTAGCACAAAGGGTTAATAATGTCAGTCATAACATTAAAGTTTCAGTAAATTTTTGTCCTTCAGATGTTGTTCATTACATCTTGTTGCTGTATAATCCATCATAGTTGTGTAGTGTCACCAAGTCATGTGTGATCACAGCTTGGTGAATTGTTACTTTTCTTCTGTTCAGACCAACTGTTGAGGAGTTGCACAAGGCCATGAATTTATCCCATCAATCACTCTCCTTTATGATTGCAAGACATCCTCTCAAGAGACTTGTTTCAGGCTACAGGTACGCTTTTGTTATTTGTCTAAAGAGATTTATTTACATTATTGTTTAGGACAGAGGCTTAAAGCATTAAATAAATCCCATTTTATTATTGAGTGTAGAAAAAGAATGGCCTGTGATATGTCTACTAGATGCCTCATGTTAGTGCCTGTAGTGGCTTGGGACTTAACGTGTGGCCGACTCCACTGTCCTGCTAAAATACTGTCCTGGTACTGTGCTGTATCTGCACTACTGGTTACCTAATATTTATTCAAAGTACATTCTTTTAAAAATTTGGCAGATATTGACTAGAATGTAATGAAATATTTCTAAAAATGGAGTGTAGTTAACATTAACAAAAAGGAAGACAATTATTTGTACAGTATTGGTAGTATATAAGGTACAGCAGGTATAAGATAAATAGGATAAAAATATGCAAATTAGTACCCTAGAAAACCCACACAATGGTGAACTAACTGTTCCAATGGTAGATTTTGAGAAAAATTTTAATACAGTAATTTGTACAATTGGCTGAAAACTGTCAGATGTTTATGGATATTTCTCCCACATCAAAAATGTACGAATTTGCCAGTACAGTACTTGAATTAGTGGAGACCAGGTTTTTTTTTTTTTTTTTTATTATTATTATTATAAACAGGGATTAGCCCACCCAGGCACAGGTCACTGACCCACATCGGGGCTTGGGGAGCGAAAATGTAATAATAATGATAATAATTATTCATAGTAAATGAAATTTATAATACATGTAAAATAAAAACAAATTTGAAAATAAAATAATAATACTGTAATAATAATAATAATAATAATAATAATAATAAAGAACCATAAAGAAATACAAAAAAATTAAAAATAAATAAAAAGTGAAAAACAATATACTATGTATGTTGTGTTGTCAATGGTAAGAAAAACAATTGAGACCCAGCCATTGTGTGTAAATGAGGCAGAAAGTTAGATCAGTTACCTGGGACTTGGTCCAAATTTTCGTGATGCCATATGGCAGCAGGGTCTACCATTAGACAACTCATTATGCTTTCAATATCTTCCTAGGCGGTATTACCTCCCTGTTTGGTAGCTGCCTACTACCTACTAGTGAGGTTCTAGCATAGTATAAATTTCACAGCTAATATTGCTCTTATCTTTCAGAGACAAGATCCTATCAGGCAACAGATACTACAGCAAACTTTCCCGCAACATCATTAAACAATACCCAAAAATGAAACCGGACAAAAATTCAGATCCTCGTAAATTCCAGGGGTCCGCACACGTGCCGTCCTTCCCTCAGTTTATTCAGTTTCTCCTAGATGAAAATGCAAGAGGTGAAAAGCTTGATGAACATTGGATTCCCATGAACCAGTTTTGTACACCTTGCCTGGTGCCTTTTGATGTGTATGCAAAGGTATGGAGGGATTTAAGATTTTGTGTGAGAGAGAGATATATAAAGGTTGAGAACTTTATCCTAAAATAGTGGTGTGAAATAATATATATTAATGTGATGATACTGATACTGCCATGAGATACAGTATATTGTACAGCTTGTATTACAAACAAAGGGGTATACAGTATTGGAACATGAGCAGCTACAGACAAATTAATGCATGTTTACACCAACTATAAGTGTACATCAGTTTGTAATGTAGTATTACAGGCAGTCCCTGAGTTACAAATGGCTCACTTGAGAATTCAGGGTACCCGTATTTATGAACGGGATCCAAGTACTACAGTATATAGATCACAAGAATCTAACTAAAATCCCATATTTTACACTAATTTCACAATTCTATATTGTTTAACATCATTATGTTTAAATTATTTGTTATGCATTGGCAGGGTTTTGCTTAAACCAAATTGAACCTAACCTATGGAAATAGCACTGTTGCCACAGATTGACTTAAAAACAGGGTCCAGGAACATAACCTGTTCATAACTTGGGGGACTGTCTGTACATATATTTACTCCTTGATCTACTTTGCTAATGCATATCTATGTTAACACACCCACACACACACTACAGTACAAGCTTGACGAGCGAAGGGTCATGACGTATCTGGCGCTGCTCTGGCAGCAGCCAGGTAAACTGTTATGTTGGCACATACCCCAACTCCCTCCCTTGAACCTCTCCTCACCGACGGAATATCAACAAGTTCTCGCTAGAAGTTACAACTTCATTTTGGAAAGGAATGGAACCAGTGTTGAACATTGATGAACAGTGCTTAAACCAGTGAAAGCAATGCAACAGTATCAGATGAGAGATGTACCCAAGCTAACCTTTACACAGTGATGTCCCAGGTACGCAGTGATAACTGCCCATGAGACCCAACAACAAGTAGCGGTGTGTTAACCCTTAGGCCCCGGGTGACGTTCCAGAACGTCCGCTAGGTCCCTCATAATGCCATCTATGAGGGAGTTACTACACCATGCTAGGTCCCTCATAACACCATCTGTGAGGAAGTTACTACACCATGCCAGGTCCCTCATAGCACCATCTGTGAGGGAGTTACTACACCATGCCAGGTCCCTCATAACACCATCTGTGAGGGAGTTACTACACCATGCCAGGTCCCTCATATCACCATCTGTGAGGGAGTTACTACACCATGCCAGGTCCTTCATAACACCATCTGTGAGGGAGTTACTACACCATGCCAGGCCCCTTGTAACACCATCTGTGAGGGAGTTACTACACCATGCCAGGTCCCTCATAACACCATCTGTGAGGGAGTTACTACACCATGCCAGGTCCCTCATAACACCATCTGTGAGGGAGTTACTACACCATGCCAGGCCCCTTGTAACACCATCTGTGAGGGAGTTACTACACCATGCCAGGCCCCTTGTAACACCATCTGTGAGGGAGTTACTACACCATGCCAGGTCCCTCATATCACCATCTGTGAGGGAGTTACTACACCATGCCAGGTCCCTCATAACACCATCTGTGAGGAAGTTACTACACCATGCCAGGTCCCTCATAACACCATCTGTGAGGGAGTTACTACACCATGCCAGGTCCCTCATAACACCATCTGTGAGGGAGTTACTACACTATGTGTTTGCTGTTGAACACCTCAGCCCATGTGACCTACGTGACCTCCACTGTAAACATTAAGCTGTATGTTCACTGTTTTTTCCTTTCTAATGAAAGCTTTTATTAACCCCCCCCCCTTTTGTTTCTAATAAGTTATTTATGTCCAGTGTATATTTTCAGCCTTTGGGCTGTTGAACTTTTTCAGTAAACCGTTAATTATTATAATTATTATTATTATTCACACACACACACACACACACACACTTGAACTGTACCTTAAGGATACTCTCAACTTACCCATGCTTGTTTTTGCAGGTTGAAACTTTGGAGGAAGATGGAAATTACATTATATTTTCAGCAGGTAAGTTTTTCTTTCTTTTTCAGTTTACACTTAATGGCACTTTAAAATTGACTTTCTTGATGAAGTTGCAGGTTGACAGTCTCTAATCCGGCAGCCTTTGGGTCAGAGCCGTCTCTGATAGTAGGAACTCCCACTTAGCATAATGCCCCTTAAGTTATGATACCATATACAAATTTGACACACCTGAGTGAACAAATTTAATAAATAAGTAATGAAACAAGAACATGTATTTCCTTGCTATCCTCATGATCACTATCCAACAATTGGCTTATACAAATATTCTGTTCTTACATTCTCTATTTCGCTATCCAAGGTGACATTTGCTAATCCAAATGTTATTCCAATTGAAAGTTCTAATCATGCACCAGGCTAGGACCAGAAGTCAGCTGGGGGCAGCCATTTTGGTTCCCCCCAGATGCACAGGAACGTACGCTCCCTCAAGGTCCATGACGTCTTCTCCCCCTCCCTCCAGCATCTTCCCATTCCATGTCCTCCCCCTGTCAAGTTTAAATGGTAGAGTTAGTCTATGTTCTTGGAAAAATGTATATAAAGGTGATTTATTACTTACAGGCAATGCATAATTGATGTTTTAAATATTCTAAATGTGTTTAATTATTTCAAGGTTCATTAATTAACACCATTTACTCAAAAAATTTAAATTATGAACCCAGATACCTAATCATCATGTAAAAGAGTACCTTGGTATGAAATTAAAAAAAATCTAGGTTTTGGCGTCATTTGGCCTACAAGACGACTTTTTCCTGGAAAATTAAAACTTATGTGTTTATATGGTAAAATATTGTAAGTGGTGTCCCTGTAATGAAGGGGTTTGCAGGAACAATTTAGTAGAAAAGCCATGCCGAATAACAGTGTACAGCAAACCCTTGCTATTGACGGGGGTTAGGTCTCCAGGGATACCGGTAGCATGAATTGGCAAAACTGTGAATAGCAACTTATACTACCTTAGTGCACTACTGTATACAGTATCTGTATTGTGTATGAGAAACTTAAGTCACCAATACTATTTACATTCGTATGTGAAAGTTTGGAGCTTGATGAAGTGGTGTACAGTACATAGGGGGACATCTGGTTACTGAAGCATAAGGGGGGGGGGAGATCATCAGGATCAGTGTTGGAAGAGGGTAATGCAGTTGTAGTTGGTGGAGAGGCGCACGGCGGGGAGGTGGCACGTGGCTGGGAGGCAGGTGATGAGGTGACGGATGGCTGGGAGGAGGGTGGTAGAACGGCTGCGGCAGCTGACTGAGTGAGGAGGGAGATGAATCAGCTGGGCGAGCGGCTGGTTCTTTCATGAAAAACATAGTGATTGGTAATTGTTTCCTCTTGGCTTTGAGGTTTTTAAACATTTCCTGGAAGGGAAACAATACCTGGTTGATTTCTGGGAACATCTTAAGGCTCTTCTGTCAGTTCCTCTCCATGCCCATCAGTCAGCTCTTCCATGTCTTAGCGACCATGTCCACAAACCCCTCACCACCCAACTGACATGCAACACTCACAATGTAATTCACATCCTTTACTAAGGACGGAAATCCCTGGAAATTAATTACAAACTCAGGCCATAAGGTTCCCCAAGAAGCATTCACTGTGTCTAGTTTGAGTTCATTGAATGCTTCACTGATAATGGTAATGTAGTCTGCAATGCTATACTCCTTCCAACACTTGCTCACATCAAGGTCAGGGTCTGCGTCCATGGTACTACGGATACAACCAAAAGAGCGTCGGGTGTAATATACCTTGAAGGTGCATATTACACCCTGATCGAGAGGCTGAATAAGAGCAGTGGTGTTAGGTAGTAGGAACACCACCTCTACACCTGGATTGCTAAACTGCAAACTTTCTGGGTGGGTTGGTGCATTATCTATCAATAATAGCACCTTGAATTCCATCTTCTAGGAAGCAAGATACTTTTCCACTTCCAGGATGACATTTATGGAACCAGTCCAGGAATGCTTGCACAGTTGCCCATGTATTTTTGTTGGACTTCCATAAAACTGGCCAAATGTTTTTGTTTTTACCCTTTAAAGCCCTACGGTTTGCTGAGTAATAAAGCAAGCCAGATTTGATCATGTGGCCAGCTACACTGCCACAGAAGATGAGCGTCACTCTGTCCTTGGTTGCCTTGAACCCAGAGGCACGCCTCTCCTGCTATTTCATGTACACTCTTCCAGGCATCTTTTTCCAATATACAGTAGACTGGATCCATCAGCATTAAATGCTTGCTCTGGTCTATAGCCTTTCTCTTCTATTATTTTCTTTAACTTTGGGGAAAAAGCATCTATGGCTGTATGGTCAGTTGATGCGGCCTCCCCTGTCAACTTCACATAATGGAGAGAGAATCTTTTCTTAAAATTCTTGAACCACCTTTTACTGGCACTAAAAGTTGGTTCAGTAGCCACACTAGCCCCTTCACCACCTATTGACTTGTATAAATGGGCATAAAGACTTTTTGCCTTCCCACGAATCACGTTGCTGTTGATAAGAACATTTTTGCAGTGCTGGTCCTTAATCCAAATGTTCAGTGCCTTTTCTGTTTTTGTCAAGAACAACCTGTGCCACTTTAGCACTTGCAGGAGCACTTACTTGAACAGAATCACAGATTGCTTGTTCATTCTTTCTTCTGTACCACACTGTGGATTCGTCCACACCAAACAACCGACCAGCCGCGCCAGTACTAATCCCCTCCTTTAATTTTTCTAATAATTCAACTTTCTTTGTCAGAGTTGTCACTGAATTCTGCCTTTTACATTTCACTTTGCTTGCATCACTTGCACTGATACTAGGCAATCTTTTAGGGGCTATTTTCACACAGAAACACTAAAATGTTGAGAGTACAGCACAAGAGATGCTGCATCACAGGCAATGGTTAAGCGTGAACAGAGGGAGAGGAGATGCTGTGGACACGTGGGGTGACGCGTTGCACTGCAGGAGAGGCTCGCAAGCTAGCCACTGTAGCCACCATCTGCTTACCGCAAATCGTCGAAATCGCAAATGGCAAGGGTTTGCTGTATACTGATAAGTACTCTTGGTAGCAAACTAAATATGTTGTGTTTAAATTTTAGTGTGCCAGTATTACCTTGCTAAGAATTGGACACCCTACTGTACTGTACTGTACTGTACTGTATTCCCTTAAAGCTCACTGGGGTTAGGTAAAATGGACACCATGAGAAAGCAAAATCTGTGAGTATTTCATGCCAGTCCCATGAGGGTGCAAAATACACATATAAATAGCTATATGCACATGTATAACAACATTATGTATGTGCAAGACAGTATAATAAATATGAAATAACATAAATAAATAAACTTGAACATGAAATAACACTGGAAGTGACAATGCAAAGACAATACCTCTGACATGTGAGGTGATCTTGTGCACAGGATGTAAACAATCCCTGTACTGGACAGTTCCTAGTGAACATGCCCATTGCCAATAAGTATTTGTAATGTGTATACCATAGGTAAATTTATTAAATATACCAACAAATGTTTGATAATAGGTCCATAAAGTAATAGTGAGCTGTGGTAAAGAGAAACATGATAGCATATAGCTAGTGATTTGGGTTTGCCAGTACAGTAGGCTATTAAATCTTCAAAAATTAATTAAAAAAACTATACCATCCTAATTGTAGGGTGCATCTTATGACCTAGGAAATATGGTACTCTGTACTGTCCTGTAGTGTTCACACCTCTTGATCCCTGGCACACAGCCCCAGATATATTTTGTTTAGTTTCCATGGCAATCTGTGAGTTCCGAGGGCCTTAAGCTTTAAAACCATGAGCTTTAATGGAATACTGTAGTGTGTGTGTGTGTGTGTGTGTGTGTGTGCGTGCGTGCGTGCGTGCGTGCGTGCGTGCGTGCGTGCGTGCGTGCGTGCGTGCGTGCGTGCGTGCGTGCGTGCGTGCCATGAATCAGATTTTGGATCATTTGACCTGAAGGGGTTGACTTGGAATTTTAAGCATAATGTTGATTAGACAATAATTACTGGTATCAAACCATAAAGGTTAAGATTATTATATATTCTTCTAAAACCCTCAGGTATTGAAGACGTAATTAAACCGAAGAGAATCAACCGCTCAAGGAACGAGCCGACAGAAGAAGTAGCTGACAAGTTTCTGTGCCAATTGTCACAGCAGCAAATGGAAGAACTTCTCCAGCTTTATAAATTTGATATTGAACTTTTTGAATATGATGTCTCAAAGTATAGAGATTGTACCAATTCCCCCGAGTTGAGCAAACAAAAACTATAGGAATTTTTTAGTATTTGGTCTTTTTTTAACACTTTTAGTGAACACTAACATTTTCTTAATGTTTGTAAAGAAAAAACAGATGTACTGTGAGTGAGAGAGAGAGAGTGATGTTTACTGTGTCATGAGACATCAGCATTATATATACTGTACCAAATGTGTGAATATAGTCATTTAAGTGTAGCCAGTAATACACAAACTTGTGATATGGTTAACATTTAACCAATTATCAAGATGAAACATGAAGAGATGGTTCTTGCAGGATGAATAGTTTCTTTATTTTCAGTAAGATAAAGTTAAAATGTCTGTCTTTATAAATTAGATAAGAAAATTACATATATTTTAATACAGACAAGTTTGTATAAGTCTGATTTAATTTTTAGTGACAATATTCTCATTAATGGTAACAAGATATACATCAAGGTGTGATATTTGTAGTGTGTATAAATATTATTCATTTTGGTGAATAAGAGATCTTGATTTATTGTCTAACCATAAGTTCCAATGGAATAATTCCTTTTCCTTCATCAGAAAAGTTACACATTTTGGTGTATCACCATACTGTATCCTTCATTGTACAGTACTTCTTCTCATGTACAAGTTTTCAAGTTTTCTCTGTAAAAAGTTTGCGTCAAACTTTAGGTCTTAAGTGTACAACGTGAGTGTCATTTGGAGTAATATTGTCAGTATATAACTTAGCCTGTATCAGGATGACCGAAACCCACTGACCCCTTGCCCCTGGTGCACACCCACTAACCCCTTGTCCCTAGTGCATACCCACTAACCCCTTGCCCCTGGTGCACACCCACTAACTGCTTGCCCCTGGTGCACACACACACATACATCACTGACCTTTGCTCCTGTCTCACACACACACACCCCACTGACCTTTGCTCCTGTCTCACACACACACACACACACACACACACACACACAGTGGCAAACTGACCCACCTGGATACCGGGAAATTTCCTGGTGGGCCCCAAAGTGATGGTTCCTTTGACTATGTTTTGGGATGAAGTGGGCCCTTTTGAACCATTTTGAGTGGGCCCTTTTACAAGTTTTCCCTGTAGAAATTTTTGACCCAGTCCTCCACTGCACACACACACACACACACACACACACACACACACACACACACACACACACACACACTTGTCTCTGGCCATACTCTACATCTATAACCCTCCTTAACCATTTTCTATAATTTCATTACAATATCCTTAGAGAAATAACTGGTAACTTAAATGTATTTAGAGCATTACATACTTGAAAACAGTTACATGCAAAATGCTCGCTCCATTTACTTGACACTATTTATAAGTTGCGACTAAAGAAGTGTGATATACAGTACCTGTACTGCACTGTACTCATAATTGCACGCATTATATATACAGTGAAACCTCCCTATAACGGATTTCTGTATCCATATAATCCGTTAGATGGGGTTTCACATCTAATGGATCCTCGACATAACTGACCTTCATATCTATATATTTGTTAGATGGATGTTTCACATACTATGGACATTCCTTTCCGTATACAGTGGTCCCTCGGTTAACGAACACAATTCGTTCCACAGAGTTGTTCGTTAACTGAATCTCTTATTTCAATGGGACATTGGATAATTGGTTCCAATTCACAGAAAAGTACATACAAAGTTCTGTATACCAGTAATAGAATGAACAAAACATTAAATATAAACTAAATACAGTACTGTACCTTATAGTATACTGTACAATAATAAATAAAAAAAACAATAGAATACTGTATTTTAACTTACTTTGTGGTGTGTATGTCTTATTACCGGCAGCTTTGTTTACTTATCAAACAGCTGATTGTAGAGGCAGTCGATGATGACATGCCATATTCTTTACAGAGTGCATTGGTTCTAATGCCTTCTTCATGTTTCATAATTTCTGCACTGTATACAGTGGTCCCTCGGTTAACGAGCGCCTCGGTTAACGAGTTATCTTCCATAAGATTCTTAACTTCGGTTAACGAGCAATCCCTCGATTAACGAGTTTCTTACGAGCTGACCTCAACATGTTTTCGCTTGCATTTGGCGGTCCACCAGCTGTAGTATTAGTCCACCAATACAGTAATCGGTTCTTGGGCTTAAATTCCTTACTATTTTAGTAAATATCAAGAAGTTTATACTATTCAATAATTTTAAAAGTTTAATATTAAATTTTTTAGTAATTTTAACAATTATTGAACATAATTGAAGGTAAGGAAACTAGTTTTAAGCGCGCCATCCAGCCTGTCCACACACCAAACAGGCATTAGTCTCTCTGTCTATTCAGTGGCGGTAACATCTTGCTTGAGACTCTTCAACTAAACGCTTTTTTTTCTGTGTTTGCAAGCAAATTATTGGTCATTTTGAAATTTAATTTACATATTGACAATATATAATGCAATGCAATGTTGGTTTAAAGAAAATAATCTTGAATTACACCAAGAGAACTAAAATTTTATGGGTGAAATGGCACTATGGGGTGACTCCTCTTCCACTCCAATGCCTTCTCCACCCCCACATCTAATTCCCATCATCATCATCATCATCCAGGAGCCTTCCACATACACACTTCAAAGTAAGTGTATTTTTCTACCTTTTTTGTTGAATTTAGGCAATTTTTGGTGAGCTGGAACCAATTACCCAAAAACCCATTGAAACAATGGTTTCGGTTAACGAGTTTTTCGGTTAACGAGCAACCTTCTAAAACAGATTGTGCTCATTATCCGAGACACGACTGTATTATCAATATGTTAACTAAATTTCAGAATGACCAATAATTTTAATGTAAAAATGCAAAAATACTCAAGAGACCAACAAAATCGATGTTCACTTCACTGTAAACAAAATTAAACTGAGAAGCGTTGGTGGGTCATTCAATCAGCTGATGGGCACACAAAAACTGTTCCCTGTACTGTATATATTATCAATATATTAACCAAATTTCAGAATGACCAATAATTTTAATATAAAAAATGCAGAAATATTCAAGAGACCAGCTTTCCTGATATTTACTTCACTGGAAACGAAGGTAAACATAGAACTAATTACTGTATTGGCGGAAAAGCCGGTCAGCTGATGTGTACAACAAAACGTGTTTGTCGTAAGGATTTCGGTAATCGCAGCTTTGTTCGTTAATGGAACTGAAAATCCTTATGGGAGCTACTAGTAATTCATTAATCGAACCGTTTGTTAACTGAGGGACCACTGTATAGGCAATACAGACCCTCACTCTACCCGGAATTTCGGCCAAACTGGACAGGCCTTCCCCCCCAATTAGTTAGGATTAAAGAAAGTTTCTGTATATGTGATCGATCTGTGACGACAAGTGGATTTGATGGGTGGGAGGGAAATAGAGTGTTGAGCTGACTTTCTTTATTTCTCTACATATTCCACTTAGTGGGATTTATTTCTTGAGAAAACATAGTTTGTGGTCAACTTTTTAAGCAGTGAGATGATGATTAACAAACTAAATATATTATTATAGTTAAGGTAGTGAGTTGTGTAACCTAATCCAATTTCACCTTATCCGAACTATCTTAAAGTAGACTAATATTCCCTTAAAGCTCGCTGGGGTTAGGTAAAATGGACCCCGTGAGAAAGCAAAATCCGTGAGGTTTTCATGCCAGTCCCAGGAGTGTGCAAAATACAGATATTAATAGCTATATGCACATGTTTAACAACATTATGTTTGCATAAAACAATATAATAAATATGAAATAACAAATAAATAAACATAAACATGAAATAACACTGTATGGGCATTAGGTCCACACAGTGATAGTTAGTTGTGGTAGTGACACTGTAAAGACAATACCTCTGAAACATCAGGTGTTCTGGTGCACAGGATGTATACAATCCCTGTACTGGACAGTTCCTAGTGAATATGCCCACTACCTATAAGTATTTGTAATGTGTATACCATAAGTACAGTCTCGTTCAAGATTCTTTGAACACTGCTGGAGACAGCTGGTAACTCAAGGCCGTTTGTTTACTATAGTATGTAGTATAATATAATACGAAACAACAAAGCCCAACCATTAATTAAGCAAAGGGGAACTAAGTAACCAATCATCGATATTCATTCATAATTTTTACTACGTTCTATAGTAAACAAACGGCCTTGAGTTGCCAGCAGTGTTCAAAGAATCTTGAACGAGTCTGTACCTATACGTATAATTATATCCTTTTGTAAATTTTATTGATAATACCAACAAATGGATGATGATAAGTCATAAAGTCTTAGTTAGCTGTGGTAGTGAGAAACATGATACCATATAGCCAGTGACTTGGCTTTGCCTGTACAGTAGACTATTAAATCTGCAAAAATTAATTTTCCAAAATATACCTTGCTAATTATAGGGTGCATCTTATGACCTGGGAAATATGGTGCTCTGTACTCTCCTGTAGTGTTGACTTGGCAATCCGTGAGTTTCCAAGGGACACAAGCTTTAAAACCACGAGCTTTAAGGGAATACTGTACCTGTCTTGACTAAAGTTACTATAACCTAACCTTACCTACCTGTACTAACCTAACCAAAAAAACACCTGGAGGCAACTTCGTGATGATTGAAAATTCGTTAAAATGCGTTATAACAGCAGGTGTGCAGATTTTGATGGGCGTGATAATGAAAATGCAATAACCAAGGGATGACTATAAAGTATTTTCTTGATTTAACGAACTAATTTGAGCCACCCCTGTGCGTTAAATCAAAGTTTCCACCTAAATGAGCTCTCGGTCAATTAAGTAGTACACTGGAGCACCTTAGCTTTTGTCTTTATTCAAGACATCTTTGGGGATGGAATATCAGGTCACTCCTTGGGTTGTGGGATGAGTGGGTCTTGACCTGAATATGTCTTGAATAAAGATAAAAGCAAAATTTTGAGGAAACCTGACCTGACCTGATGCAATGTCAAGGGAGGTAGGGTGAGGGATTAGTGGTCTCCTATTACTGACCTTCTCATGGAATGTATATGAAGGGTACAGGTATTAATAAGCTCAAATTATTACAGTAACATATCTTTACTCATTAATAAAAACAAATAAACAATATTTTGTCCAGTAAGAAAGAGGCGAGACAACCGTTTTAGGGGTGTCGGTCAGTTTCTACCAGTCTGTCTGGAACTAAACAAAGAATTTATTTGAAATACTTTGTTATGTTCGATACCGTAATATCCTGACCCTGTGAAAAGGCATAATTTTGAGCAACTTTACGTGCTTATCTTGTACTCAATGTACAGTATGTTCTCAAATTTTGTGAGTTTTATTTGGACAAAAAAACACTATACAATTTTAAATTTCGACGGGTTTGAGCGGCCATAACGTGCAGGCGATGTGCAGTCGTGTAAAACAGCGTCATTTCTCTTATGTACAAAAGATTCATTATTGTTTATGACTGAATTTCTTTTTGATTGAATTAATGTTTATGTGTGCAAAATGAATAATACAATTCATTACTAATATGTAGA